TCAATATTTAGTTATGAGTGCTATAACTCAGTGATTCAGAAAGATGGATTGTGTTACTGGATGTAGAAGATAATTTATTTAATATCTACAACAGAAAAAAATCATTCGTCGTTTAAGTTGCTGCTTCTATAAAGGACCAGGTCCTAGGTTGGTTTGTCTAAATTTGAAGTCTAAGTTGTCATTACTTTCAATAATACGATGTAAAAAACGAAGCTAGAAAAATTCCAATTTGTTTATGCTTAATGTAAATGCTACTAACAATAAAAACTTAGTGTTTTAAAAGTTCTTAAGCAATAGATATAATACAACGAAACACGTGAATCACTGTTTCTTTCAAGTTTACTTACATTACTGCTGTGGAGGCTATTTTGAGTGGAAGGCATTTACGATTTATTCAGTTGGCTCATACATTGTTATCCCCGTAGAATATCTATTACCTGTGGGTATGAACGATTTTATTTATTTTGGGTTGACTACCTTTAGTTACCGGCGTCTTATAAAATCCTTCATAATTTGGGAACCACGTATAGTATTAGCATGTTCAATTTTTACTGACGGGGCCTTAAAACCAGAGATTTCTTGGGTGTTTAAAATTCTTCAGGCAAACAAAAACGCTTATATTTCAAAAAGGGATATACATATTTTTGCCTTTGTTATTAATTTTGAAGACACAATATCGGCAGCCATAAGATCTATACTAATGTTTGAGGCATACAGGTTGTCAGAGATTAGATCTAAATTTTTCATAGCTTATGTTATACTTCCAGTACTTTGTGACAGCTGAGGACTTTCATTAACATGTGATACAGTCATGATAAGAGAAGTTGCTGATAGGGAATCTGCAATAATTGTGGTAGTTTAAGAAGCATTAATGTTGTCTGAAGTGATCGTTTACTTAAGTTTTTGCTTGATTGTTTTCGTTGCGACTATACAGGAATTCTTAAACTTAGTGGAAGCAACAATTAGCCGTTCAAACATTTTCACTCGGGTACTAAGTGCGGTTCAAATTGAAAAAGAATGGGATGAAAGTACTTTCAGTGTATTTTTTTTAAACGGAAAAACTAACAGAGGATTGATCGCTCTCATCATCAAATACTTATCTAATTTCAGCCGTATTTTATCTGGAATGTTACAAAAAAGGGTAGCATGTCTAAAGATAGGAAATCCAATTATTTCACTGACAGATTCTACTCTAATAACATTCAAATCTGAGGAGTTTGTGCTCTTAGGTAGTAACAGTTTGAGGGGAGATGAAACTTTTAGTTTCTGTTTAACATTATCACGTGTTGGAGAGAATATTATGATTAACTCCATTTTTAAGAGAATACAGCCTAACTGTTTGTTTAGGCAATATGCATACATTAAATTATCAATGTTATAGTTGCTCGACACAAATTATTTATGTTTGTTTAATAATAAATATGGGTTTCAAAAAAGTGTCTCTAGAATGTTCTTTCATAATTAATTGTCGTCTATTAGATGTTGTTTTCTGGTGAAAACCATCACTAGATATTCCATTGAAATAAATTATTTGTCGTATTATTGCTTAATACACCAAAATCATTGGTATTAGATGGTTGAAGATTTGCAGAATATGTGGAAGATGACAACATACTAGAGAGTATTAGTATATTGTTTAATTAAATAATGTTTAATTGTTCGATGTTTGTATTCTACAAATATGGTCATGATTTAAATGTGATTGTATAGCTTGGAGTGTGAAATATCCTTGTACCTACAATTCTGCACGCCCGAACTTGTTCACCAAAAGATTTTTAAACTCATTATAATTTTACCACGATGATTTCTTTAGGATTTTCCGAATTCGATGATAACGCATTTTAATTAACATAGAGTTCACGTGACAAGTATTTGGTTACGATGGTTTTTTGACAGTCATTAATGAAAGTTTACTTATTTGATAGTTTGTTTCCAAATTGTATGAAATACTTTCTTACTCATCTATAAGTTTAACGTTTTCTATGGTCGACAAAACAAAAACCTATTAGCATGTAATACAGTACAAAGAGTAGCAAAATGATATCTATTATCTGAGACTGTTAGCATAGGATTTTCATCAAAATTATCAATTTTTTTTAAATTTTATATCTTAACGTTCTAAATTCGATCTCCTTTAGCAAGGTGTTGAATGCTCACTGCTGAACACCATTTAAGGTTGAAATAGCTATCCAGTAATTCTCAGTTTCCAGTTAGGGTTTAATTAAGATAATTTCGTATTGTATCACTGGCGGCCTGCTTGAATATCTGGGCTACCTGGTCCTCCGATCTAGATATTTCATCAAGTTATCTGTTCTGTTGTTTGTTTTAGCACATCATTATGTCGATTGTGCTCACAATCTATTCAGGCGCGTTTATGGATAGTTTACAACCTTTCGCTATACGGGATACAAAAAGGTACAATCAGCGACATCATGGTGATTGGCAATATGCATTGAAACGAATGAACATTATTCAAATATGGATTACGGAACTCCTAACATCTAACTGGTCATCATTCAAAATTGATCGTCACAATCGATCAAGATATAAGAAAAGGAAACTTGTTGAAATACTTTATGCTGAGAATTCTATGTCGTACCAAAAATATAATGTTGAATAAAGCTTATAATAATAATAATAATAATAATAAACTATTGTTATTGGAATCACTTCACTCTGAAGCTATATAAAAGTAGACACTATTGAACTATAATGAATTAATTCAAATGGTATCTCAGTTAATACTGTTCCATAAAGTTACCAGGTTCAGTTTCATACAGGCGTATGGGCGTGCACCAATACTTTCGTAACTAAACTCCTCAACTAAGATAATGACTGTTGGGGTGTTCCGGTAAATTTCTCGCAAGAGACAAGCAAGAATCAGGAAACACTAAGACGCGTTTCCTCCAATCAGCGTTCACTTGAAGTCTTAGCCAAAAATATCAAGGGAGCGAAACGTCACATGCAGAGGTTCTGATTGGCTGGTTGTTACACTGCTACTATGTTTAGTAGCATTCCAGAATCGTCGAGCAACCCAAGAACATCTGAAAATATTATAAAAACCCTGTATTTTCTGTATTAAAATGAACCTTGGAGTAAAGTACTTCTCGCATACTTTGAGTCTTTTCTATCGTGTTCAGGTCGCTGTATAGTTCTAGATTCGAGGTTACAGAATAGCTTAGGAGACGAATATAGCGTTCAATACGCAAGACTAATCAATGACATCCCTTATTAAAGTAATTTAAGATTAAAAGAATGGTCAGTTGATTAGAATATATCAACATTTCAAACATTTAACAAATAAATAAAAAAATAGAATCGTCAATCATATTCCTTATAAACAAGTGTTTGTTGTTATTATTACTAATCAAAAAACTACCACAGCTAAAAAATAATTAGCAAAGTTAATTACCAGAGTGATTCTCTCATTAATTTAAATGAATGAACTGTTGTTTAAATTCATAATGGTGTACAACTACAATACAAATTATTACGACTATTAACAAAGACTAATACTAAAAGAAGTTGAATTCATTAAATATGATAAAAATAACTTCATCAAATACATACATATAACTTTTATATATCAGTCAGAATGTTTGTTATAACTATGGTGAGTTAAGTAACAAACCCATGGTGATTATGTAAATATTTTTTTAAAAATTATTATCATTATTATTAAGATATTATGTCTTCTTATTTCCTAAGGTCATTAAAATTACGTTACCTTCTATTAAAAAAGGAGGTCGTTTATATGTTGTTTATTTACTATTTGGTTTATATTTAAGAATTAATTGAAAATAGTATTACACTACAAAGAAAAAACATCTACAATGTTTACTTCATAAAATTTTGAGTTTACCTCATTCACATTATGTAAACAATGTAAAATTGGGATGGTTTAGAACGTAAAATTTTATGAAAAAACTTACTGATACAGTTTTATAGAGGAAGACTACTCTAACTAGAAAGCAATGAACAGCGATTTTATTCTAGTGAAGGACTCTTCTGAAGTGGTTGTCCACAACGTCATCAAGAAATCAAACCCCGGAGGTTTAGGTATTGCATCAATTGCTTAACCTATAGACCGTTGATTTAGCATCCAATAGTTTAAATGTCTAACTAGTCAGTTCGCACTGTTGTCGACACTAACATTTGAATTGAAATGTCAGTTATTAAATTTTTTGGATATAACAGATTATGTAACAACTATTAATGATTTTGGGAGTTCGAATTTTAATCAGTATAAAATAAAACCGTATAAACATGATTGTATTGAGGGAAATAAAGATCAGTTTATCTTCCAGTGTGAAATAAATCTTCATCTCCCTTCCCATTGTCCTCACCCGTTTATTGTACTGTATATTTGATGCGTTAGTTTTACAAAGTCGGAAATTTGTATGCAAACTAGTCAATGGAAATTCAACAATGGAGATTCCGTTCAGGTACTTGATTGTAATACTTATAATGTACTACTGATTATTATTCAAAAAAGCGTTTTATTTTATCGTAGTGATAGTTAGCGATAAATTATCAATGAAGAGGTTTATATACATATCACCAATTTTTTAAATATCATGATCATTCTAATAAACACAGTGTAGTCAGTCATATCGAATGGAATAAGAACAACAGTCTTGAATTTTCACTAACTATCCTCAGATGATCAGTATAGGGTTGTTGAGACTGTTGAGTTTTGATTGATATCATCAACCAATCAATGTTAGACAACCACTGGAAACCTGGAAGTGCTGGACGGTGTTTTTTTCTAGCAGGGGCTTCTCAACAGTGCTCATCCACGATCCCACACAAGGGACCCAAACCCAGGACCTCCGGTCTCGCACAAGAGTGCTTAACCTCTAGTGCTTCCGGGTTTCCAATGGTTGTCAAACACTGATCGGTTCATGATCTCAATTATCCTCAGATTGATTATTAGTTTGAATAAATCAACTGACTATTCACCACATCATAACAATCAATGTTTTTTTACAACATTCATTCATGAGTATTCCGTATTATATCTTAATCATTTAAAATCAATGCCTTTTGTCAAATCTAGTTTATTTAAACAAATTTTTAACAAAAATCTGATATATTATTCGTTAATTTTATAAATTTTACAACGCAGCATAGTCTTCACATGCATGAAAAATAGTAAATATGATTATCTTTATAAACATTTTGTATACATTACTAGAAAGACTCTATCAAGATATCTTTTTTGAACAAATATCATGAATTCAATGAATATACTTAACAGATTACATTTTTTTTGTTCTGAACAATGATCTTTCATTACAGAAAATACAAAATGGAATAGAATTTCTACAAAAGTAATATGTACGATTATAGAGAAACAGACAAGTACATAATTTATACGTACCATAACATGAAATGTCATCATTATAATTGATTGTTAACAATTCATGTTAGAAAGAAATTATGGTATTATTCAAATATACTAGTTATATTGAAATAAAGATCTATGAAAAATGAAGCGAAAAAAAAATTATTGTCAACATACAAAAATGAAATAGGAATAGATAAATGATTAATACTTCATTGCACATTACACATTTCTTTAGGCAGTTGTACAAAATTATTCACTAATCCAATTGGACGTAAATGATATAAGAAATATTCTAACATATACATCATATCTGGTGTAACATAATGAAAGCTGATTCCAACATCACTAAGTAATGACTTAATGATTATCGGTACCAAAATGAATGATTATGACATGATTATTATCATTATTGTCAAATGATGAAAAAAAGGAAAAAAAAATATAAAAAAAATAAATTGTAAAGGAAAGCAACGCAAATTAACACTGTACATCATTGAATAGAAAGTTCTTCTAACTATAGAGATTTATCGTTGTTATCTTCACATTCGAGTATCATAATTAAAACAAGATATCAATTTTTATAGAAATCATAACATTTATATCAATGTAATAATTCAGTATTTACTTATGAATTAGTATGGTTAAACTTATTCCAGGCAATAATTAATTAATTTAATGACTGATGTAATAGGGCTCAATTGAATGAGCGGTAATGTTTGAAATTACTATTGATTTTATCTAGTTATACAGTGCAAAATAAATGTCAAGAAAGATTCGAATCTATAATAAAGTGATTGCAAGTCAAATAATTTAATCAGTAAGACATTGTACTTTAAATAATCAGAACAATATGTCATTATTTGTTTGAACTAAATGAATTCATTCGGCTTTAGTGTATTATTAGATCTTGAAGTTAATAGAAGAATTTCCATTTTCAATGTCAGATGTTACGATATAGTTGACGAGATAAGGCGTTTCAAAGTTAACAAAATGGATCCTAGCTTAAATCTCGGAAAAGAGATAGATATTCTTTGAAAAGAATAAGTACCCATCTGACCTCTACCATGACTGAATGAAATATTTATATTTTGATAGAACTGTAGACCAGTTTTTGATGTTCATGTAAACAACGCATGTTTTTAAACAGCCACATTAACATATCGGTGTGTATTAAGTACATTGTAATGTTCCCAATTTGACAGACGACTGTTGAAACTTCTTTACCTTTTCCATTCTCCTGCTTTGACTCGGAAACCTGAACTTTTGCACGTCTCTACTGACAGCTTAAGCTAAAGATTTCAGGTCACAAGTCAAACGTGCTATAATTAAACCACTGAGTAAGAAACCGATGGTTCTTACTTACTAATTCAGTCAGTTTTTGTTAGAGAAGGACAATCTCCTGTCGCTGACAGGTGACTGTCACTTACTCGGCACAACTTAGCTCTATTAATTAACAATTCTTCTTGAAACTTTGGGAATTCACCTTCTAACCAATTTTCGGTGGCTACAAGATCATTAAAATTGTAGTATATAAAACTGAGTAGTTCACACAATGTGTGTAAATGCTTAAAGTTAGAGTGTATATAACTGTTTTACGTGTTAACTGTATATATTCAAAATGTAACAAAGAACGATTTCTACTATACTAAATAATACAGTTCGTAATATTTATTGAAAAATGAACGGTAAACAAGTAAAATCTAGTCTACGGATCAGTGCACATAAGTACAAACCATGATTGTAAGTAAACTTATTATTTTCTGCAACCCATGAAATGTTTTTCTTTTAGTTACCTATCTCTTGTCTTTTCCATTTTGTCGGCGGGTAAAAAAAACACTCGACAGTTGGATTTGAAATATAAAGAAAAAAGTAAAAATATAAATTAATCGGACATCTAAAATTACTTGATGTGGTGCTGCATATAAGGTTTGCGGTTGTAATTTCACAGGACGCCAGTGCAAACTTCGAAAAGATGTAAAATTCAACAACATATCAAGCGATCTCCAACGGAATCGGTAACGACCAAGTATATCAAATACATCATATAAGCGAACACCAACTGCTTGTCCACATATACCTATATAAGTTGAATAACGTACAGGAGTCAAAAATTATTTCTGCAATTTACTTCAAGTTACAAATGTGGATATAATATAAAAGATGTTTTCCACGTTTTTAAGAATCAATTATTTTCACTATATTCATGAACATTTGCCTTATAGTGCGCTTACGCATGTCCGTCAGATTATCGGCTTACAAATATAAATATCATGAATGAAAAGAGAACTGAAAATATTCTTTTATCAACAAATTGGAAAAATAAATAAATTCATGCATGACATATGAGAGGGTTATTTAGTTTCTATTTTCGGACATTGTTTTTTTATATTAATATTGAGCAGAGTAAATTAGACTTAATTTACGAATTTTGTAAGTCAATCGAATTGAATTCATTGTTAAGTAGATTTATTGACTTGATATGACAGTATTTCATTCCATGTAACCTCAGCTTACGTGTATATTATAGAAATTTTCTTGAAGATTGTTGGTTAGAAGCAACTACTAAAAAGTCCTGACCTAAGATTTTCTCTGTTTGGTACTCCTCTTGAGTTTTGTGGATAGGTGTTGATGCCACTTCGTGTCACAGTCAGAGAAGTTAGCAGTTGAGGTAGTCGTGATAAGACAATTGATCTGTAGGATTGTAATGTTTACAAGTTAACTGACCAGTTAGTAGAAGATGGTCTCATACTGACTCCTCTATGGTGTTTATCGGAGCTTATCGACCAAGATAGGGTTCAACCACAAAGCTGAATATGGTTTGATAATGGATGTTAACTAGTGAAAATCCTAGATCCAAGGCTTCCTGTTAGTTGCGTTAAACCAATAACTCGCCAAAGAATATGGTACACATGATGTCGGGTCACTAAAACTAGTGGTCAAATTGTAATGTAATCAATGGAATTCGATCAGTTCTAAGGAGTAGACAAGTATGACACTGATGACTGATTAGTGGTCTGTCAGTGTTCGGTGAATCTTTTGATTGATATTTATGATGATCGAAAACGATCGGTATGATTAAAATGATTAGGCTCATTATCAATATTTTAATAAGAAAATAATAGTAATAACAAATGTATGAACTATTTACATGAATCTTGAAAGTATTTCAACTCGAAAAATATTATTTGTACCATTAGTTATGCAAGGAGAAAATTTGTTATCGTCACATTTTCTATTAGAAAATAACTATATCAAGATGAATTTCAACAGATGAGAAGGCACATAAACATAAAACTAATGTAACAACCCATATGGAAGAGGTAATTTAATTATAGAGTTGAATTTTAACCGAAAAAGACAATCAGCATGAATACAGAAATAAATTAAGACAACAAAACCTAAAAAGATAATCACTCACAATTAGTGCCATCAGAACAAACTTATACAGCACTTGTAAAATAATTATAAAGCTCACTTTTACATTAAGTAAGCTCTGATAGTTTTGTCCAAGATTGCAACAAAAACATTTAGTTTAAGTAACACAACACCACTGGAAACATACACCTGAGCTACAGATGCCCAACTCAAATCTACTTCCATCAAAAGATGGGCTTTTTGAACCTTTAATAATATTTAGTATGTATTTATAGATGAAAAAAGATAAATTTCAACCTGAAATATAGGGTTCATATGCAGTGCATATTTGTTTTAGGAAATAAATAACCAGAATCTTTTATTTATTTCGAATTTACCTCCACTTCTAACACTAACAGTCATTTCTGTTTATAATCAATTCACGATACTGCGCGACAATCTCTCATTGTCTTTGATGGGTAACTGCCTCAAAACCGAATATGGATTAACTCCACTGATTACGCTTCTCTATGGAGCCCCGAGAATCACCTCTCGAAGCGAGTCACAAGTGAACTCATGAGCACATAATTTCAATAAAAGCTCGTTTGCTAACTGGACTGTTTATATTATTATTATTGTTATTATTACTACTATTATTTCGTTCTCATACACTAATTTCTGTTCGTTGATCTTGTTATTATAAGTACCTTACATTCACTATCTCTTTACAACCGCATTGTTATTATGTGGCGTATATGTATTTGGAGCTCCCTTGTACTAATGTTTGTGTGTTAAAATAAATAGACAGTAAAGGTTCAACAATCTCCACAACCCTGTACTGATAAAGAGTTTATATTACCATACAGTCAAAATAAACAAGATTATTTAGAATAAAAAACGGTCAAGTAGTTGTGAAAAATGAAGGAATAACGAGAAACTAGGAGTTCTAATGACAATTAACGTGGACTACACAACAAGTCAACAATGTTAGTTTGTTAGTTACTTTTAAGGTAAACTAAGGAAAATGAAAATTTATGAATGACTTATTCTCGTTTCAATGAACATATTAATATTAATAACTTTATTTGATCATTCCGATATATAAGAGACTTGTCCTAATCAGGTTGCTGATTATAGACGACTATAGACTTCTTTCGTTGATACAAACTTTAAAAATATTGAACATTTAAGACAAGGTTATGATTTGTAACAAATCATGCTTTTACGAGCACAGCATCCAGTTTGGCTCCTGAAGAATTTCAAGGATTTTGCAAACAAATAAAGATCGTAAAAGTTTATTCACTATAACAGGAAGTATTTTAAATGATGTTAACATAGATATATTCTAAATTTTATAAAATAAGCTTTAATGAACTGTTTTCACGTTTATTTGAAAGGGTTATTATATACCGGATATGTCTGGATTCTGGTAGGCGAAGTTTTGAAGAATACTAATAATTTTACTTACTCATTTTTACATCTTCCATATTTTCATCATAAACTGGACAATTATGATGTCTGTCAATTGACTGTTCAACTATACGCTTTAATGCTTCTCTAGATAGAACGTAGCCTGCACCACCAGAAAAATAACCATTTCGAGCAAGAATCTAAAAGCCAAAGAGATGGTACATATATTGATTAACAAAATTGTATTTAATAATTCTATCTGAATATATACTGTACTTGTTTGTAGTTTGAAAATTCCACATATTTCTATAGCTTTGCTTTAAAATGAAAATTTTAGACAAAAGTTGATTCGTTTCAAACGATTCTGAAGTCAATCTGTTTTTCATGTTCATTGTAATTTAATAATGATCGTTTCACTCGAGAAATTTTGAAATTCAATCAGTCAGACTAGTAATCAAAGAAATGTACACAGATAATATGTATCAAGTGAAGTTAATTTCACTGTAATCATTTTTAGTTGCCATATAGATAAAGAGATCATTTTCATTTTTAATAGAACATTATTATGTGTTTCGTTAAGATACGTGATAACAAACAAACGTTGTATATCATTTAGTTAAAAATATTAAACAGAATAACTGATAGACATATTATTCATTAAAGACTATTTACATAACTGAATTAGCAGCAAAAAAATACTTAGGAATACCTTTAAGTAAAATGAAAGACAGTGATAATCAAAATAACCACAACTAAGAAAAGGCGAGAAAAGTAAGCTTATAGAAGTTTTTTATGTAAGTTATTAACCAAAAGCATAAATTCTCTAGACTCTAGACAATTTCATGGAGATGAACTAGAACAGTCTATCGAGTCATTCGAAAACCTATGTTAAAACTGATGTTTAGAGAAGTAAATTAACCCACTATTTCAATAGTAAAGAATTAAGAAAATTCAGATAATTCATAATGTAGTTACACGGGAATCGTCTATCAAAATAATCTAAAGTCAAAAGAGTGGGATTAACTGGTGGTTGTATCAAAAACTTGTGCACTGCTAAGGTGTTGGCAGTCAAACAACGCTGAGTACAAAAGTAACATGTTCATTTTATCATTCTGCCTTAACCCTCACACCAATTTCGATATGTTTTGTTTTTATTTTCTCACTGTTATAGTTTACTTCTTAGATCAGTAAACAGCTACTGTTACCGCCTTACAATTTTTCATAATCAGAATTCAGTTGTTATTAAAAATGAAATTATATTTGTCAAAATCTTAGCGATTGAATGTAAATACAACTTTTCAGTCGACAGTCTGGTTCAACCTTTTTAAAGGGATTTAATCAATCATCAAAATTCTTGAATATAAATACATTATGGTATGTGCTACTTATAATGACATAAGTAGTATATGATGTTAGTCGTGAATAGAAGGTCTGGCAGCAGAGAGACAAGAGGATAGAACAGTAAAGAATGGAAACATGATGCAATTTGTATGAAAATGCAAGAACAATGAAGCCCGAGTCATTATGAGACAATTGATGGACATTTTGCAAATTACGTATTTACTTTCATACACATAGTTCCCTTTATCATTTTGAAAAGAGCAAGAACAAAGATTCTAGCAGAATAGCATGAATTCATTTTATTTCGTAGGTTCTCGTCAGCTGCAGAATATTCTTTCACATTAGGTATATATTTACAATATTCAGTTAGCAATTTAAACCCATTACGTAATTATGTTTTTTTAAATATCACAGGTTGTAAGCAGCTGACGAGAACCTACGAAATAAAATGAATTCATGCTATTCTGCTAGAATCTTTGTTCTTGCTCTTTTCAATACGTATTTACTATTTGATTGTTAGATTTTATTTGCAGGTCCTGTAATTTTGTGTCAAGTGCAGTCGATTGTTCCCACCCGTGTTCTGTTCACTACAACATAATACACAGGTTACTTGTACACCAAACAGTTCATTCAGTCATGTTAAAAGTGATGAGATCGGGATTTTTTGTAGTAGGTAAGAGTCATTTCGAGTGAAAAAATGGGAAAATGTAGTTAGATAACAGATATATGTGTGTGTATGTAAATTTGGTGTGAGAAAATAATTTCATCACCTCTGGATGGCTATGGTTGATAATGATGTTGGGTTATGTGGTAGATGCTAATCGAGCGTGTTATAGCATGCATAAAAATGATAATAAATAAACAAATGTAATTTAGCACAAAAATACAAACTAACGAGCGAAACGTTTGATTTATTTTAAGTTGAGATTTTAATAAGTAGAATTTCCTTCTTTAGTAATATATCCTTGACGTCTTGCATTTCTTCTTCATATCCGTCAAGTGGGCAATTTCTGATCCGTAGGTCTTTTTCATCTCTTTACTCTTCATTAAATTCTAGACCAATATGTAATCGTGTTTTGATACTTAAAATCTCAGATCACTAAGTCATATTGAACAGAACAAAGACCGGAGATTTGAGCAGAATAAAATGAATCCATTTTATGATTTAATTTTTGTCTGTAATTCGATAACTTCATCAAATTATTATCCCACGAATATATGGCCTACCTAAAGAATATAAAAAAGATATCCCTCTACGTTCTATATTAGACAGGAATAACTCTCAATATCATGCCATCGCCAAATGGCTAGCTGAAATTCTACGATTAGTCAAAAATCAACTCAATAGATACACCACTGCTGATTCGTTTGATTTTGTCGATTCAATATTGCGTCAACGTAACCGGAAAGAAAATGACCTCACTAGATGCTTTCTTTCTTTTTACAAATATACCTTTAACGGAAACAATCTAACTGTAATTATATATTAATACAACGAACTCGATGTCCATGTTCCAACGTATTATTTGAAGGAGCTAATTCTTCGACACACTCTTAACGTCCATTTTTAACTTAACAATGATTTCTATAGACAAACTGGGCAGCCTATGCTCCTTCACGAGGGGTAACAGGCATAAATAAGTGTATAGATAAACTGACGACGTGACGATGGAGTCACTAGTCGGCCCACTTTTAGGTGACTTTTATTGCTAATCTCGAAGACACTATACTTAGACCAATATTTGACAGCCTTTATCTATACAGGAGATACTTTGACGACACATTTACATTTACAATGTCAACAACACTCTGGACGCGTTCAACAACTGTTATCAATCAATCAGGTTCACAGTAGAATCCGGTCGCATTCCGAACTCCACATTTTAGATGTTTAGGTAAAAAAGAGATCTGACGGTTCCCTACAAACATCGATATATTGAAAGTCAACATGGAATAGTCAGTACACGAATTTTCAAAGTTGGGTTTAACTGAAGCAAAGGAGAAACCTAACACATTCTCCATGTTGGAGGGTTAAACGTTTCTGTAATAAAGATACAGTCGATACCGAAATTACTAAACTACGGCAGATAGATATCAACAATGGATATCCACCTAGATCCACTGAGAAAATTCTAAGGTAAGACAACAACGTGAATTTCCGTAGCATGAAAGAAGACTCTCTTCATGAACATGCGTTTTAAAGGAGACACTGCATCAGAAACCCTGAAAAACAGCCTATGCTTCGAAGTTGTGTGAAGGATAAGCTTCCGCTTTGGGTCAAATTGGTTTACTTGCTCGTGTGGAGCAGGTTGTATTGGCTGCGCAAAACGAGCTATTTTGGAACGCATCTCCGAAAATTACCCTGCCTAACTCTCCAAGGAATTAAAGAAGTTACTCAAGATAACAATCTTAGAGTATTTAGTCATTTTTGATCACTTTGCTTCACCAGAAGCTCCCTTCAAAATCATGCAAACAGTCAGAAGGGTTAGCTCAATAGGAATGTGAATGAAAAAACTTATGTACAGCCGAAGCTATTGTTACCCACCAGTTTAAGACTCACTTTTGCGTACGAAACAGTATGTTCAGTCCCTCATTCTTCCATGTCCCTAACCTCCCTTTCTATCTTCCATAGTCTATTGTTTTTATTTATTTTGTTATTTCTACTCCTTTCCAGTTATTTTCATAACTATTAATTAGCAATTATTGCAATTTTTAATCATTTTGTTCTTAATATGTGTCAAGTGGACAATTATTTTCACTTGACTACTTTTCACTAGCCAATTATCACATAACTTCTTGTCAGTATCCTATTTTCAAATCTTGACAACATACCACCTCAAGTTATTTTAAATAATTAGTACACTTCTATTTTATTGTAGAACACTATTTTAGCAAATAAAATTAACTATAAATACAACTGTACAGCTTAAGTAAATGAAATTGTCGATAAGTAAATATTATTTTCTATTACAGGAGTATTTCCCGTATTACGAATCACTGTGCCATTTGATATCTGGAAGGTAAACGTATTTCTCATTGGAAAATAAACTCTTAAATAGATCAAAAGTCAATGAATAAAATTTGCTGTAAATGAGTATATGAATTTTCAAATTGATTCTTTTCTTAATATAAAACTTGGATATTTAGCATCTTCAATAATTATCTTTGAAGTTAAAGTTTTAGCCAATTAATTGGTAGTGATAAGATATTTTTGCACCAACGAAATTCAGTACTTTAAATAACTGTTTTACAGTTGATGCCATATTAAATCCATAAACAAATTCCATGTCTTATAAACATGGTAGTCTAATGAATAAAGTAAAAATGACCCAAGTTTTCAGAAATTGCAGTATATATTATTGACGATAAATTGTCTTTGAATGAAAGAAGGTTACGCGTCATACTTGGTTATGAACATGTAAAAATCATGAAATATTGATTAGTATTGTTTTTGGTTTCATTATTGACATCTAGTCTTTTAGTAAAACAAAGTGTTTATCATAAATGGGATTTTTAACTCTTTTGCATAACAATTAAGACCTTTTATCTCAACTCTAGGAAGATAAACCATTCCTCCATATATCTTGAATTTTTAGTGGAAACAGACTCATAAAAATTATGTGACATAATTTCTTAAATAATTCGTTTTAGATCATACTTCGATTGATCCTATTTTCATGATACAAATATTTGTGATTTGGAAAATGATACATTTTGAACTAAAACTACTGTTCACATGATATATAAGTAACATAATCGCAAACATCAATCTACTGGTAGCATATACGATAATATATGAGTCACCTGTCTAAGCTCGTTCGATTTTCTCGAAATTCCACCACCTCTAATGTAGGGGAGTTCTTTGTCACCAATCAAAAGAAAATTATACTAATTAGAAGTAAATTTTGCTTTTTGTTCTATAGCGTAGATTTTGAAATTAAAGGATATACCCTAATTGCTGGTATTTGACTGTAGGTGTCTTTAGAGTACTGTTTGTTAGTAGTGAAACAACTGAATGATCAATGCTGATGTTAGATTTAATGTACTGGACGAAGATTTATTGATTGGACTGTAAACCTTCATCGATAAAAGTGGTTGATTATATGTGCTATGTGACCTCAACCACCATTAACTACAATTATCTATACTAAGTGGCGTAGAACTAGGTTGGAAGGAAGTTTGGGCAGTTAAACCAATTCACAACTCTAATCACCAGCTCTTGATTTGTGTTGGTAGCTGAAGACTATATAGTTGTAAATCGTGCGATAATCTGGATCAGTGGTTGGAGATCTTAGGTAACATGGTTCAAAACTAGTTGCAATGATAGGTATGTTAATTCTTTTTTGTTATCTGATTGATTCGAATTTTAAGTTTTACTCTATATTTAGTTGTTTTTATTATGATTAATTCGACCGTTGTCCCAACTTCCTTTGGATTTATCTAGGTATTTCATCTCCCTGTGCTGACATTATGTGGCAATATATATCGAAACATTTATTCTCAAACCTGTATTGACTGTCCCTGATTGATTAACCACCTAGGCTTCCTTGCAAAAACTTACATTCAACTATAATACCACAAGAAACAATAAATAATAGGTGAAGATACATATTATTTACCGGAAATCTATGCCCAAGCATAAAAGGCATATCTGGTGAGTAATTCTGTAAAACATTCAATAAATTTTCCATAATTACGTAGGCATCATCATCGGTCTTTAAAAAATAATCATAATCATTACGAAATTGGTAAATGTAACGAAGTATGATGCGAAATTTACTCCATAAATGCATTCTCACTTCTGGATACGGTAATTTTAAAACTATAAATGTAATAAAAAAAGGAAATTCAGTTATAATTCTTTTCGGGAAATTTACACAGGTGAAAGAAATAAATTTAATCATTTACTTTCCCTGACATAAAATGGATCAAAATAATTTCCAATTTATTCAAGATTAGGATTTTTTTCAAGGATTTCATTTATTTGGAAAGAATTTTCAGATTTAAGACCGTAACTGTTTAATAACAATTTCTTTCGTCATGGTTTGGTTACTAATCGTCTACTAGTTGTTCTCTAGTCGTGTGTAAAAAGTTGATTTCATTTAAATAACTATCTCATGAATCATTGTATCAAAGATGAGATCGACTGAAAACAGACCACTAAAAATGGTTTTTATCTCATGTAATCAATCATAGTGATAAAGTCATTTCTAGAGGCTTTTACATTAGTTTTAGTGGCCCGGTATCTGAGTCCGGTTACACCGGTTCTGATTGTTATGGTGTTATCGGAATATACATCCTGTTTACCCTCGTATATTATTATCGAGTTAAATTGCATTAGTGAATGATCGCATTAAATAAGTCAAATACGGGAATAGATTTTCGAATACGTATATTTCGTACAATCGTTGATCAGAAATTGACGCAAAACGAAATGACGCGCAGTGGAGAAGTTGAGTGAGCCAATTAGATTTATTCCAGCGTTAATTGATATTTATAGTCAGAAAAATTAGTTACAGACATGTGATGAATAGGATAAGAAGTGCACACACATAGGCCCACATAAAAACAATCACGGTTGACAAGTGAATAATTAACAAGGTCAAAATGTGACTCAAGAAAAATGGATAACTTGGCCTGTCCGGAAGCTATAATAAACTATGTGGGCTTGACATAGCAACCAACACTACAAAGTCAGTGGCTATCTGAATTTAGAACCTAAATGAAAAGCACATTGACACTGGGTATGAAAAATTCAGGGTCCGAGTTCCTATGTGAACATTAGTAGTGAGGTCCAAATATTTCCAGCTGACAATTCCTAAATGTAATAAAATACGCATCGTGGATTCCACTGCTAGCCGCTATTTAACTCTGCCTTAAGTAATAAAATCTTAAATTATCTTCTAGGATAAATAAGTGGGATATATTGCAGAGTTGTCTATCATTCTTTGGGATTTAACGACTGATATCGTTTAACTATAAAATAACGATGCGTTGTCTGTTCAACAAACATCCAGATTGAACTACTTATGTCATTGGTAAAATTTGAGAAAACCTCCAGGTAGCTCATAAAGTATTTATGGAGATTACACATTAAGTAAAAAAGCAGTTTTCAGATGAATCAAACTATTCAGTAAGTGTTTTTAAGAAAAAAAATCAAGGAATAATACTCTCCGATTCAAATGTAGGCTATTTTCATATGCTGAATACGGTTGTGAACATTGGCATAATTAAACATTGTATCAAGTCCCCAGTAAAATTTTCACACTACATCCATTTGATAATAATAATAATAATAATAATAATAATAATAATAATAATAATAATAATAATAGAATTTTAGTCCCGCACCAATATACATTACGATTGTAGTTTTATAATAGTCAGTAGTACTCTTGAACAAAATTAAATTTTATAGACGTAACTTGTATTTGATATTTCATTGCTCGTAAAGTCAATTGAAAGCATAAAAAACTCTTTAGGCCTCGTAACGACTGACTAACGAAACATACTCATTCAGTTATACTAAAGTTTAGAAGAATCTAAGTATTAAATTCACTTGGTATTGTTTACTTGAATCTTATCATTGATGTTTAGCACTGCAATCGGTCAGTCTCTTATTGGCATATATGCATACTATATAGGAAGAAATCTGCGTCCTGGATTCCACTGCTAGCCACTATCCGTCTTTGCTTATAATTATTTTAAGTCTTGCTAAAACAAGAAACTATTCCCAGAATCATGTGAAATTTCGTCACAATCAATCTTTTTATCCGCATCTATGATTTTATGGATTTTGATAGTAAAAACTAAAATATTTCAGTGGTTCATCATCAACGTATATAAACATTACATCATTATATGGTTTCTATTGTTAGTTCAATTTATCCAAGACGATATTTGGAGTATTTCATTAATTCGACAACCGGCTAAAAGTGAAAACCATCATTGTTATGTCTTAACAAATTAAACTGTTGTAAACAGAGGGAGGTAAAAGGGAAAAGGTAAACATTTTTGGTTGACTCAAACCGTCATAAATTAGTGTATATTCGGCAAGCGTTGTACGATTCGAATAGTACCCAATTTCATATAAAAAGTCTAGATAATATATGTAGTAAACGATGGCATAGTAGCATCATGGATTGATAGAAATTAGACTTGTACTCCATTGGATCCCAGCTCAGTAATCTAGAAGTTAAGGGTTTGTTTGTCAGCTCGATGATTCTGGGTTCAATTCCCGGTAGTGGGGTCATGGATGAGCACTCCTAGGGGGCCGTAATAAAACTAAATGGCTTTCTAGTGCTCATATATATTCACTGGCTGTTTAACTTAGGTCAGTTCGCAACTTCACCGAAATTAAACAATCTCCACAAACCCCTATTGGTGATATATTTTGGTTGTAAAATGATTAAAGTCAGTCAGTAATCGAACGGATCCTTCACTAATGACCCACAATAAATGAAACACTTTGAATATTACATATTTATTGCCGACACATAAATAATATAATTATAGGTACATATACGTAATAAATTTATTCTACAAACACGAAACCGTTAATTGTATTTTATGAAGTGAGTAGCTTCATAATGTATGAAAACAGACAGTGTTTTTTAGGATGATATTAAATAATAATAATGTTAGTTGTTATTTCATATAAAGTATAGGGACAAACAATTCTTTTAGTTTAATGAAAACATAGTATGTGTTAATTATAGATGGTTTTTATGAAAATGGAGTATTTTTAACAGTAAGATCGTACTAGGTAAATTGAGAAGTATTGTCACAAGTCAAGGAAAATGAGAACGCATACATACAGAAATATTCTGGATAATTCACATACCAACAATCTTTCAGAATATATTGTACCAGCATCATGTAAAACATATAAATGTTATTGGTTATCAAAAGGATCACGATTTTTTAACACTATACACACTGGTAACGTCATGCCATCTGAATCCTCCTTAAAAGTTGTCCATAAACTCAAGTGAAGCGATTTATAAACATTTACAAAGCAGGAATTTATGTAGACCATCGACATCAGCAGTTCCACTCCAATCTATGCATACAAAAGCCCTATGTCAAGTCTTTCGTTGTACTATCGTCCTAACTCCCATTTGTTCTTCATAATTATTAATTGGCTATTATTACATTATATTATTCTGTTCATTATGAATAACTGTCTCCTTTACAAAATATCTTAGCGAACTTTTATTCACCATTACATTATTACATAACTTCCTTTCTATGTTTGATACTTACAAATAATTTATCGAAAGTTTCTTTCTGTTAATCAAGTTGACAATTATCCTTGTTACCTACTATGTAATTTCTTCGTATACTTGATGAAATTTTCGATCACTTTTTATATGATGCTATATTTTTTTATTTTATTCAAGTCTGATGTATTCTCAAAAACTATTATCACACTTGTAGAGCTTTAATAAATAACATAATCGGAAGGGAAATTTTCTTTTCTAAATTGTCTTTATTTCTTCTAAATTTCAACAGAAAGAACATGTACTGACGATACACCCTAAGTGAGACTAATCAATGTGAAAAAGTGCTTAAAGGACAACGAATACCCACTAAAAGTTACTGAGGAATAAGCGAAATGTGAAGATGAAAAACTCAAAGGAAATACAGAAAATAAAAACCAGTTTTTATTCAACCTAAATTCAGAGGTGATTATGTCACAGGGTCAATCAGTATGAGACTAGAAACTGCATTGACAAGGACTTATCCTACAGCTAAACTGATCGTCTTGTCCAAAACAGCATTTTCTTTAACACAATCAAACATCGATAGGTATCCCTTTCATTTTACCACCAACTATGTATACAAATTAACATGTGTTTGCCAAAGCAGTTACATTAGCTAAACAGAAAGGAGAGCCTACGTCTGATTCAAAAAACATATTCCAAAAGTCGAAAGGTCAAGTCGATTAAAAGCATCCAGCAGTGCCATCTCGAGACATCTCCTTGATACTGGACATCAAGTCGACACATTGATGTCTTTTAAGGTGATTAATAAACAATCAAACTTCAATCCATCGCCAAAGCGATAGCAATCAAACGTCTGAAACCGGATCTATGTGTTCAAAAAGAACCACTCATAAATCCCCATTTGCTCTGATAACATTATATCCTTTTTATCGCATCACTTATTATTTAAACTCTTTTCCATCTTTTGATTATATCATTGTCACTTTTCGTCAATTCATAATTGAGTGATTCCAACTTATATCTTTCTTTATTACCATCAATCTGTTTTCGGTTACTTCATTACACAATCATCTAATGTTTGTTAACTCTACGAGTTCTAATCACTATTTCAATGTTCTGGAACTCTCCCTTCCAAGCTTTATTTATTTATCTATAACAAATTTTTTATGGTCTTATTAACTCGATTGAAATCTTAGTTACATCATGATACACACATATTCATCACTAATCACTGTCGCATTTATAAGTATGTCAATATCTGTAATAACTTTGATTTTTAAGTATTATAGGTTGTAAGCAGCTGATGAGAATCTAACGAAATAAAATGAATTCATACTGTTATTCACCAATCTTCGTTCTTGCTCTCTTTAACATTAAAAAGGATAAGTTATGTTATATAATGAAAGCAACTCAATTTATCATTGAGCATGAATAGAGAGAATTCAGCGAAGAAAAATTTCTTTTCTACTATTTCAACTATTAAAGTTGTGCAGTCATATTCACAATGATTTAATAAATTGGTGAGTTTATCAAATTACAGACAAAAATTAAATCATATAATAGAATCACGTTATTCAGCTCAAATCTTCGCACTGAGATTTCAACTTTCAAAATACGATTGCATGTTGGTGTAGAATTTAATGAACGATAGGGAAATGGAAAACACTTATGGATCAGAAATTGAAGAGAAATTGCCCAGATATGAAGAAGAAATGCAAAACGTCAAGGTCACAAAACTAATTGACTAATAATCATGAGAAATCGTCATAACAGCTGATTACTAATTAGCAAGTAATTTATAATGTCGAAGAAATTATGTATATATATAAAGAATTATATGGTAAGTATTCTGCTTGTAATACTGCAACTTACCAGCAACCGGTAGAATTGGATCGAATTTTGTACTCATAAATATATGCTTTGTACATCTTCTAGCCCATGTCTTATGTACATGTATGGCTTTCTTATAATAATTTTCTGGATGTGTATTAATATAACACAATATTCTTATTTTATTATACAGTTTTGTAGAATAGTTTGCATCTACTATTAATGAAAACAGATAAGATTATTATAATATTAATATCAGAGTTTATTTACAATCCTGTAAAACTAGACTTACTGTGAATACTTGGCTTTGAATTGATAGCAGTTGTATTGAAATAAGGTGGATTAGTAATAGTTATTGTATGCTCTCTGTTCTTTTGTTTACTCTGTGCATTTTTGTTGTCTAAATGGTTATATGTAGTTTCTGCATTAATGATTAGATATTTTTTGTTATTATCATAATCATAATTTGTAGTAGCGGTACTACGACTAATACTACTACTACCATCCTCAATATTTTTAACAATAAATGCTCTTAATTTATCGGATAAATAATTTTTTTTATTCTTATAATATTTATAGTACTCTTGATAATTGAACGTATTTCCAAAGAATACTTTAAAATTTAACAGTAATAACAAACCAGTTACAATGCCTAGTATCAGACAGCATACTCCTCGACATTTAGAATATGCCTGACGGGAATTTCGACAGTGTGATCTCTTCATAGAATTAGACAAGTTAAAATGTGTATATGTTTGTATTTCTAACGTTTGTTTAATCGTTTCATCCGGTCATATTGTAACTGAAAAAAATTGGAATAAAACAGAAAATATATTTTTTTAATTTATTATATTTACTTGAACACATAAATATTGGTACAAAGAGGCACCGAATACATATGCACCACATAGGTCACTTGATTTGTGTGTGGGCTATGGTACTGCCCAGGTGCCCAGACCGAAGCAGGTGGTTTTCTTAGGAGGCCACACCTTGAGCCTTCGACCTAAAGGTCTGATCCACAAGGCACTGGAACAACGTCAGGAGATGCAGTCCCATGGTAGCCAGTGACGAATAATTGGTTCATATGTCATTTTTTCCCTCAGGATCCTGAAGTCCATATGTACCATTGGTTTGGAATCAGGGTTTTCCAACTCCCTTGGATGGACTCTCCGTTTCCACAATCTTGTTTAAAGCACCGGACATTCGTTTTTCGTACTCTTAATTTCATAAACACTCCCGCCACGAGAAGTCAGTCAGTAGGACTTCCCTGTAAGATCATGGCCATGTAAAAGCATTTCGAGAGGGAGAGCGAACTTTCCCAACCCTCGGCTGTACTAGGGCATTTGAAGCATATTTTCAAATACTGAATTGAAAATTTGATTAGTAAACTGTGGTGCTAAATTATACCTAAAACTAACAGAAAACACTAGTTCCAATCTGATGGTAACTGGCATACTTATGAGGTATAACCAAATTTAAAATTAAAGGGGTGCAAGGAAAGATATGAAAGTAGTATATATATATGATTAATTTCAGGTTCAATATAAATCTAAACATGACAAGTACAGTTCAAAAGGATCAAACGATATAGAACATATATACAGATATAGATATAGAATAAATATGACGATGTAAATAAGGCAGATTTGTCTCATATTACTCAACGTCTTTATATCTCTTATTACGAGCTCTGTTCTTGCCTGAACCAAAAGGATTAGACTTGTCAACATAATATGTCTTGATCTGATAAACGGTAACTTTTTTCAACCTACTTCTCTATCGGCCATCAATTCAGTTTGAAACGAAACCGAGCAAAATCAGAAATAAATGTGATATTTTCACATTATTAATATTGTCTTACTTAAATGTATTACGTTATCAAACCAAAAGGCAACTTACAATAACACTATCTTGTAATTCACCAACAAAGAGTAACTAAACATTTTCGTATAGCTTTGAACTAAAACTATACGAGTTCTAGTAGCCATTGTGAATTAATCTTAAGTAAAACTACCAGTCCCCAACAAAAAAAATCACACAAATTATTTTGATAATCAGACAGGTTTAGAGAATGGACGTCTGAACTATTGTTAAACCTTGTAATATTGAGAACTAATCAAATTGGTACATACTGTTAGGCCGTTGAAGTAGTCAACAAAAATCCTCAAACCGGGGAGAGCCTTGCAAGCTGATACTTATCAGTAAGATGCATCCTTAATACTAAGATGACTGATGCTTCCTCTGAAATTCAAACCCCAGTCACTCACTTTCACAATCACAGAGGTTACTACTGACCTCTTCTGGTTGGGATTGAGCATTTTGGAAATTAAAATTAAAATGACATTTCGATGAATATTTATTTCTTGTGATCACAGAGTTTATTCACAATTATATCCCAAATCTGATTTTTTTTTCAGACAATTTGTTTTTGTGAAATAAATTAAAAATATTTGACTTCGAAAGAAATTGTTTAGATTATCGCCTAATCATAAGCATTCTTACTTATACTCACGTAGAAGATATTTATTTCATTATCTTATGAATGATTAAATAAATTTATATTTTAAACTTGGTGACATTTTAAACAACATTTACTAATATTTATTTTCCCATTGAACATAACATTAAAACAGGGATAGTGACCTTGTAAGGTGATAGTTTTTCTTTTGCTATACATTTCACTGAAGTGCTTTTCAAGTTATTAATTCAATTTCAAGTACTCACTACTCAGTTATACATCATAGTACTTTGTAAAAATCTTTTGAATGTCTACACAAATATGTAGTATTCATTCACTTAAAAAAAACTGTTTAATATTTACTACAAAATTAAACTAATATCACATATTTTGCCTATCTATAACAAAAGATCAACATAAACCTTAAATTATATTCACTGTCACCTGTTAACTTACGCAACACTGGTTTGCCGTTTTGTCATCTGAGCTTTAAAGGTTAATTGGCAATACAGTTTAATGACATATTCTACGAAGTTTGCTAATATTTATTATTCTGTCTAGACTAATCAAAGATCAGTCAGTTTAGTTCTAGTATTTGAGAGCTGAGTAAGTAATTCAATAAATATGACTAAAATGAAGTTCAATTACAAGCTTTAAATTCAGTTAAACCATATCGACTTCCCATAAGAAAATGATATGAAATGACTGGTAATGATAAATATTACATTGTTGTTTGTCATTAATCTCTTATAAATATTATATATATAACTGAAAGTATTCGTATTGGTATATTCTCAAATTCTAAATCAGATTGATCAAAGTTATCAGATAAAAAGAATCCTAATGTAGATTAATTAAATGCCTATATGTCATATTTACTAAGTGACATCATGGGGATTTCTGTGTAGTTATGAGTTATTATTTATGCCTCTTCTTCATGATGTGCTATGAATGTGAACATTTACTGTAAATAATATGAGAGCAATTATCTTTGTCAGTCAGTATTTAAGAAGCATAAACCAAATGTCACTCAATACAAATACATTAAAAGAACCAAAAAATGTGAAAAAAAATGCCAACCAATAGTATACCTATTGACTAGGTATTTGTGGAAATTTTAATAGAAATATTCAAGTTTTGTCTTCTAACTCAGTGATTATTAACTCTCAGCTGCACTACTAATATATACAGTGACCTATTTGTATTTCCTTTTTCATTCTCCATCTATCGAGTTTCGTTAAATATTAAATTCAATGGTCAAACTTTATATCTGATATTGAACTGTGGTTATTGGTAATAATAACACCTTAATCCCATTGTTATATCCGCGTCGCTTCATTATTTATGCCTTAAAATGTGGAACCACTACAATTCCAATGAGTTGAAGTAAGTTCCTAAAAGATTAGTACAAGTGGAGATACGGTCACTGAGTTACAAAAAACATCTCACACTGGATGTAATGCTGAATATAACTCATGTAAATTCAATACAAGGAATATCATAATTGATAAGAATCACACTGAAACTGTAATCAGTCTTATGTTGGTCAAGTTCTTACACTGAAACTTAAATGATAATCACCCTGAGCAGTCATTATACTGAATCAAAAGGGAATATAATTGCTACTGAACAAAGGTTCATACATGTCATATTAAAGGAAGTTCATATTGAATTGACCTGAGTTATGTTATCATTATATCCTGTCATATAACATATTTATTTATCAAAACGCAGAATCAGTTTCCATTATTACATAGAGTAGCAGACATTTAGAAACACAGAAACCAAAAATTATTGACTGATCAGAAACGAAAAGATAGTCATGTTAAATACATTATAACGTTAACTAACAACTTTTTGTTTCCACAATTATTTACGTATAAATCATTGGTAAACTAAATCATAATTTTAACTGGTTTTGATCTTTAGCCATAACCGAACATATTTTAAGCCAATTATGTACATAATTCTTAAAATCATATTGAAATAGCTGAAATAAATATAAAAAATATTGACGACAAAGCTGACTTTAACTTTAAAATGCAAACTCTAAAAGAAATTACCTCACACTTCTCTCCAACTGACCTGTAAAACATTGAAAAGTATCCTTATGTTAGCTGTTGAAATGGAATGTCTAGAATGTGTGCAAATAGAAAAGCTTCTGATTCAAGTGGCCATATGTATAAAGAGTTATCTCCAATAAGCCTACACACTCCACTTGATCTCAAAATCACTTATACATTGTTGTTACTAAATGTCAGCGAACATGGCGATACAATGAGGATCGAACACACGCAAACAGAGTCATCTAACAGCCATAGCTAGGAGAGCTGAAGTTCTTTCAGTATGGGAATAAAAACAGTGAAATGTCGGATATTTCGCATTTTACTGTTAGCCTGTAAGGCAATGACAATGGAGATGCTATAAATTTTTGTGTATCGCTTTGGTTTCAATCACATAGAAGAAAGGAAATTTTGCATTCACTAATATGCAAGAAACTACTTAGATACGCAAACGTTTTAACTTCTGATAACTGTTCACCATATGAGAGGAACGTTGGCTCAGATTAATACTTTAAGAGTATAATCAAAGCAAATGCAATACTCACAAGCACTTGTTATCATATTATGAAGCACAATTCGAGTAATTTATAAGTCTTCTCACAGTAACACGATAACGTCTGTATACTCACTGTTGAAGAGTCTTTCACAAAGCAACACCTTCATTAATCACTTCTTTCATAACCGATGAAGAACTGAGAAATTCTAAATACTTACCTAAATCTATTACTTATTTAAAATGTTCGTGAAAACATTGGAAATCATTAGGAAAGTATGTTTTATAAACTCAAAAGAAAAGCTCATTTCAAAGGCAAACCTGTTATTTTTTAATAGAGAAAGCGGCTCTAAATTTGAATAATGATAATCCTCATGAGCATTTTGTATTTCTTTTAATTAGCCAATAATTTTTGTGAGCATTACTAAAATATACGTCACTTAACGCTTGTCTATTTGCTAACCAAATAATGAAAAGACTTAAGTCATGTGTGCGATGACATTTGACTAGTGATGAAGAAGACTATGATTATTTCAAGGTATATATAACTTTTCCTTAATTATTTAATGATAGAATACTCTGATTTTGTTATTTTTTGGGTTCTGATGTCTCAATCTGTCTCATGGTTTACCTACTGAATTAGTTCTAGGTCAAGTGAGAATTAACATGAATTATACATTTCAGCCATAAAGTACATACGCATGTTACGATTCACTTTTTTCCTCAATTGTTCCTATACTTATCTTTAATCTCGTTCTTTCATTTAATTATGAAATAGGTCTAAAATC